CTCGCGGCCCGGCTCCTCTGCGGCGCCCCCTGGCGGCTCCTCCCGGCTCCGGGCGTCGTTCTCCTCACCTCTGGCGGTTTACTCCGCGCGGATTTTATTAGCACTGACTTTACAGGAGACAAAAAGAAAAAAACGGGGACCGGTGTGGCGTTTCTTTGGGGGAGTAAGGCAGAGTCTGCTGGAAGCACCTGGGTTCATATTTGGAATCATGCTGTTGCGTCCTAGGCTCACTGCTCACATTTTTTAAATCTTTTCCATTGTAATTAGTTCTATGAGGTCATTAACTCTGCAAGAACGAAATTTGTCCCTTAATAGTCTAGTAAACAGGAGTAGAAACTTTCTGTTAGCCGAGTTGAAGGGTTTTTTTTTTCTTTTTTTTATTGGTACAAGCTTGCGGTACATGCTGATTATATTCCGTGAAGCATAACACAATTTAATTCTTTGTTCAATCCTTTCTTCTCTCCCTACCCCTTCCCTCCACTTCTTGGTCCTGCTCCCTTTTGTGAAAGATGTATCTCGAAATGTCCTATTTATTTTGCTCTTTATATTTTGAGGTTTCTCACCAAAGAGAAACCACGTGATATTTAAGCTTGTGTGTCTGATTTATTTCACTTAACACTGTGGTCTCAAGGTGCATCCATTTTTCAATAAATGGCTCAAGTTTATCGTTCTTTATGGCAGAGTAATACTCTGTTGGGTATAAATGCCATGTTTTCTTTATCCATTCATATGGAATCAGAAGAGACCCAGAATAGTAAAAGCAATCCTGAGCTACAAAGAGAAAAGCGGGAGGCATCACCATCCTAGATTTCAAGTTACATTACAAAGCTACAGTGATTTTTTTTTAAACGGATGATTTTGGCCCAAAAACCTAACTTTAGACTGCTAGTTGCAGTGTCTGAATTTCTACTTGGCTCAAAAGTCTGAGTTGGAATGTCTGTAGGGTGCTCCTTGAGGTCCTTTCCAATCTAACTCGGTTCTGATTTACCAAGTTATTTGTGGTGGATGGAAAGCTAGCGCTCTCAAAGATATGTCCACATTCTAACTCCCAAACCTGTGAATGGATAAGAGGGCTTTGCAATTAAGAATCTTGGTTAATAGTGGGTTATGTGGGTGGACCCCAGAATATCCTTGTAAGAGACTGATGGAAAGACTGAGTGAAGGAGAAGCCATGTGAAGGTGGAGTTAATCATCCTTAAGCTAAGGAACTCATGAAACCATCACAGCTGAAAGAGGCAAGGAAAGAGGTCTCCTTAGAGCTTCAAAAGAAATGCAGTGTTATCAACCCCTTGATTTTTGGATGTCTGCTCTCCCAAAATCATGAGAGAATAAGTTTCTTTTGCTTCAAGCCACTTAGTTTTTGATAATTTGTTACAAAGTATCTAGAAAACCAATACAGTTTTTTGTTTTGTTTTGTTTTTATACCGGGGATCAAACTCAGGACCTTGCTCTTGCCAGACAGGTGCTGCACCATTGAGCTAAATCTCTGTACCTGAAATAAATACAGATTTTGATGTTAAAAAGTGGGATGTTGCTGTAACAGATACCTAAAAATGTAAAGTAGTTTTGGAATTGAACAAAGGATAGAAAACTTTTGAGAAATGTGGTAGAAAAAGTCCATGAGGAGACTGCCAAATGAAAAATTTTGACATTGAGGGTAATCCTATTGACTAACAACAAAGTAAAGCATAATAGAACTACCTGCTGTCACCTTGGAAAATACATAGTGTTGACAGGATATTGATAGAAATATGAACATTGAAGAGAGTTCTAGCAAGGGCTCAAAAGAAAATGAGGTACATGTTATTAGAAAATGGAAGAAAGGTGACCCTTGTTATTACCAGCAGAGTACTGGTTAGGTTGGTGTCTACAGATGGTGAAAAACAGCTTGAAGCAATGAACTCAAGATAGTTCACTGAGAAGATTTCCAAGCAAAATGTTGATGGTGCTACTGGATTTCTCCTTGCTGCTTGTACTACGGTAAGAGAGGAAAAACATAAAAGAGGAATAGTTAAAGGAAAAGGATTCAGCAATTGATAATTTGAAAGTTTCTCATTCATATAATAAAGGATGCTAAAATTAGAAAATTCTGGGAATATGTGCTCTGGACAGAAGACCAAGAGTGTGGGCTTGATAGTCCTTTGCTGCATAGGATAGGCATTTGGTTCATGGATATACTCAGCCATTTCATCTGAAGCCTGTCACAGAGCTGGAAATTCCAGAAGATTTCCAAAAGTGCTTAGGGCAGTGGTATGTTAAGGAAAAACGTGTGAGTGCTTTCTTAGGATGATCATTTTGAAGAATCATTCATACTTTTACCTATGGTTTAAAGTAAAAGTTGAGCACCACAAATCTTTTTTTAATTCATTAATTTTATTGGTACATTTTAGGTATACAGTGTGCTAACACTCATTATTGGGAGATTGTGCCTTTACATAATATATCTTGATTTTTTTCCCCCTGTTCCCCTGCCCTCCATTCAACCCCTCCACCCTTCCTCATTTACAAAGACTTTGTTTCCATTTTTTCTTTTTCTTAAATTTATTCCTTTCTCTTCTTCCCTTTCCCCTACCCCTCCCACTTCCCCTTCCACTTGAACTTTGTATTACTATTTCACATTATCTGTTATATATTTTGATTCTTATTTACACTTTCAGTTTCTCACACCAGAGAAACTATTCCATATTTATGTATGTGTGACCTGTTTATTTCACTTAGGTGTATGGCCTCAATGTACATCCATTTAGCTATAAATGTCTCTAGTTTCTCATTCTTCATGGCTGAGTAGTACTCCATTTTTTTTAAAAAACACATTTTCTTTATCCATTCTGCAGTTGATAGACAATTAGATTGTTTCCAAGTTTTAGCTTCCTTTTTTTGATAAGGTTGGCTAAGGGTTTGTCAATTTTGTTTATTCTTTCGAAGAACCAGCTCTTTGCTTCACTGATTTTTTTGTATCATTCTCTTAGTCTCCATTGCATTGATTTCTGCTCTGATCTTTATACTTTCCTCCCTTCTGTGAGCTTTGGCCTTGTCCTACTCTTCTTTTTCTAGAAGCTTGAGGTTCAGCATTAGGTTGTTTATTTGAGCTTGCTCTGTTTTCCTAATATGAGTATTTTCTGCTATGAATTTCCCTCACAAGACTGCTTTCATTGTGTCCCATTGATTTCCAGTATGTTGTATGGGCATTGTCATTTAATTGTAGAAACTGTCTGATTTCTTCTTTAATTTCCTGTGTGACCCTTGGTTGTTCAGAAGTGTGTTGTTCTATTTCCATGTGTTTATGAAATTCATGTGGTTTCTCTTGATATTGATCTCCAATTTTATCACACTATGGTCTGATAATACATATACAGAGATAACTTCAGTTCCTTTGCAGTTACTTAAATGCATTCTTTGAGCAAGTATGTGGTGTATTTTGGAGAAAGATCCATGTGCAACCAAAAAGAATATGTGTTCTTGATTTGTAGGGTGGAACACTCTGTAAATCTCTGTTAAGTCCATTTGTTCAAGAGTCTGATTGAGTTCTAGTATTTTGTTGTTTATTTTTTGTCTAGTTGATGTATCTATTTGTTACAGTGGGGTATTGAGGTCTCCCAGTACTACTGTATCAGTGCTTGATTTTTTCACATCTGTTAGATAGTTGGGTGCACTAGTATTTGGTGCATATATATTTATGATTGTCAGTTCTTCCTCTTGGATCGTTCCCTTTAAAAGGATATAATGACCTTCTTTGTTTCTCTTAATTAGTGTTGCTTTGAAATCCATTTGATCTGCAAATAGGAAAGGTATTCCTGCCTTTTTTCAGGTTCCTGTCACATGGAGTATTGTTTTTGACCCTTTAACTTTTTTTTTCTCTCATTGAGTTTATTGGTACACTTTAGGTATACAGTACAGTTACATTCATTGGGATCTTGTACCTTTACATGACAGGTCTTGGTTCTCATTTTTTCCCCTTGTCCCTGCCCTCCCTTCAACCCCTCCTCCTCTCCCCATTTACAAACACTTTATTTCTGTTTTTTCATTTTCCCATGTTTTTTCTTTTCCCTTATTACGTTTCCCCTGCCCTTCTCACTTTCCCTATACCTTTAGCCCTTTTCTTCCTGTTTCACATTTTGACCCTTTAACTTTCAGTCTATGAGTTTCTTTTTGAATTAAGTGTGTTCTTGTATGTAGCATATTGTTTGATCTTGTTTCTTGACCCATGCTGCTAGTCTGTTTCTTTTGATTGGTGAATTGAGACCATTAAAATTGATGGTCATAACTGTTAAGTATTGACTTATCCTTGTCATGACCTTTTCATGTTGTTGGATTCTCTCCCTTTGCATTTAATTTCTTGTCTTGACTGATGGATTCATTCAGCGCACTTCCTGAAGTTGTGATCTTCATTATCTTTTCCTGAGAGGTTTTTAAAAATTTTTTGGAATGCTAGCTTGGTATTCATGAAGTTCCTCAGGTACTTTGTCATAAAAGTATCTTTATTTCTCCATTAATTTTGAAAGATAGTTTTGCAGGGTACATCAATCTAGGATGGGGTTATTTTCTTTTAGGGCTTTAAATACTTCATTCTAGGCTCTTCTTGAGTTTGTGTTGAGAAGTTTGCTGTGATTCTGATGGATTTTCCTTTGTATGTGATTTTTTTCTTTTCTCTAACTGCTCGTAGAATTTTGTTCCTCTATTGGGTTTCTGGAATCTTAACTATTATATGCCTAGGCATAGGTTGTTTTTTTTTTTTTTTAATCATATCTAGTTGGAGTCCAATTCTTTTACCTTGCTTGGGAAGTTTTCTGCCATTACTAATGTGAACAAATTTTTTTTTTATGTTGTTTGCACACTCTCCTGTTTCTTCATTGACTCCAATTAGTTTTATGTTTTTATTCTTTGCTTCATCTAGCAGCTTCTGGATTGATTTCTCATGGTCCCTTACCTTTTTTTTTGATACTGGGGATTGAACTCAGGTCCTTGTGCTTGCAAGGCAGGCCATCAAACCGCTGAGCTAAATCCCCGGCCTGGTCCCTTACCATTTTTAAGAAATTTTTCTTTTCTTGGACACTAATTGCAATCCTGTCTTCTATATCTGATATTCTGTCCTCAAATTGGCTCATTCTGCTGTGTAAACTTTCAGTGGAATTTTTAATTCCTGGATATCTGTTTGCATCTGTTTTATGGATTCCATTTGTTTCCTGTACTGGGATTCCATCATGTTCCTCAGCTCCTCTATTTTTTTTTTAATCTTTGTCTGCTCTACAGTTATTAATCATATCTTGCACTATGGACACAATCTCTGTTGTTACCTGAGAAATTATTTCTGATTTCATTTTTTTCCACATCCTCTTTCATTGCTAGTTCAGGGAGTCCAGATGGTTGAATATCAGGTTTTTCCATCTTGTTTCCCTTTGGGGTTGCCTTAGGTGATCTGGAAGTCTGGTTTTGAGTCTTGTTTATGTGTCTTCTCATTTCAACAGATGCTGCCTTCTGTACTTTGTTGAGGTGACTTTTTGCTAGTCCAGTGGGCTTCAATTCTCAGCAAGCCTCAGAGAGGCCTCCTCTCTGCTGCTCACCACTGAACCAATTCTTGGGTTCATTGGCGGCCTTTTGAATCCCTGCACTGTGCACTTATCTGGCTGGGGCCTGCTTATATTTAGGATGGTATCTAGGTTTGCCTCTGGCTGGGTCCTGCACACCTGCATAGCTGTTGTCTGGGAGGCCCTTTGGCTGGGGGCTGTACACCCATGTCACTGGTGTCTGAGCAGGGTTCTGGTTTGGATCTGTGCATACTTACCAATGGTATCTTGGCAATCCTCTGGCTGTGACCTGCACAGCTGTTTTCCAGTTGGCCCTTTGGGTAGGTCCTGCAGGCCCAAGCCGCTGGTGTCTGAACAGACATCTGGCTGGGACCAGTACCCCTTTGCCACTCTGGTTCATGGGCCTTCTGGCTGGGGTCTGCACACACTTACTGATGGAATCTGGGTAGGCCTCTGGCTGTTCTCTGTGGGCCTGTAGAGCTGTTTTCCAGGCGGGCCTTTGGCTGGGGCCTGAGCCCAAGCTGCTGTTGTCTGGGCAGGGCCCTACCTGAGACCTGTGTACCCGTGCCACTCTGGTCCACACAGGCTTCCAAACTTTTTGAGTATCAATATAACACCACAAGTGGAGAATTCCATACCTGACTTTATATGACAGGGTGCTGTCAAAACACAGATACACTAAAAATGTAATATAAAATTACCTTCAGGTCATGTGTAAGAAAAACAAATAAATTTCATGTTTTGATTTGGGTCCCCTTCTCAGAATACCTTGTTCTGTATATATACAGATATTCTAAAATTCAGAAAAATCTGAAATATTTCTGGTCCAAAACATTTCACATGAGGAATATTCAACCTGTATTTGAGTATATCTGTAGCTATTTGATCAAATCAGTGTAGTATTAAGTGTTGCCCCTATTTAATGTTTTGTACCTTTTCATATCCAATTAGTGTTTCCTTTATTTTTCTCAAGCCATTGAGTTTGGTCATCATTAGTAGCAGTAGTGGTTTTGAAGTTTTTGTTTAAATTGCTATCTTTTTTATGTTTATATTAATGAATGAATTTTTCTCATTTCCTTTACCCTCTTTAGTGCCATCTCAAACTCACAAGAATGAGTTATTCTGTGCTTGCTGTACATTCTCAATGCTTTCCATTTTATATTAAGCATTGGTTAAAATTTACCAAGACTAGAGAGAAAGACAAAGTGGGCAATAACAAAGGATGTGTACTATCTGCTTGGTGGCTCTTTCTACTTTACTTGTTCATAGTATTTTATACTTTGGTCTGTACAGAACCAAATAATCTTTATTTTACAATTTCTAAAAGATTTTGGGCATTTTTTCTTTATACTGTTGTGCAAAAAAATGAAAGTTTCTTTAGGCTTTAAGGCAAAGGCCTAGTGTAATACATCCATATCCAATTTTTTTGTTAAGGTCTTTACTGTTTTAAGTAATAAAAAGATTGTGCAAATAAGTAAATGATTTTTCCTTAATATAATGCTCTCTCATCATCCTCACTAAATTATATTTCTCAGTGCTATTTCATATGGAGAACATAAATTATCCATTTTTTAGTGTTTATTATAAAGAAATGCCAAAAATAATTTCATATGCAGTCTTTTTCCTGGCATTTTTATATGCCCATAGTTTAGAATGATACCTGAGGTAAGAATAATCAATTTTCTTGTGTTATAGTGAATGGAAATCAGTAATTTGACATTACTGTTTGTAGAGGTTTTATAATTGTCATAATATATGATTTAGTTCTAAAGTATAGTTTATAGTGTCTAAATCATTTTTTTATTTCGATTAACTGATTACTTTTTTTAAATAGTGAATTTATGGCAGAAGAAAGTAATGAAAAATTTTGGCAGTTTTTGGAGACAGTACGAGAATTAGAGATTTATAAACAAAGAGGTAAGTAAACTGCAAAACTTAACTTACAAAGTTTATATTTATGTGCACACATTGACTTTATTGTCTTTAATGGTAACTAAATTCTGAATAGAGTTAGTAAATCTGAATATTAAATTTAAAAAGGTGTTTAATGGAAACCTCAAGTATCTATTTCCAAAAGCATATGGCCCTAATACCTTATTGTAAGTAAACTCATATAATTAATAATGTTTGGATATTGCATTATCAAAATTGTTGAGTTATGGCTTTCCTTATATGTACATTTATTTAAATTATTCTTAGTTTTGCATCTAGTACTAGTATTTTTTATTAGAATTTATTTTTAAAGCAGTTTTAAACTTACAACAAAAGTGAGCAAAGAATACAGAAATTTCCCATTTACTTCCTACCTTCACATGAATAGCTTCCATTGATGTCAGCATTCCCTACCCTAGTGATACATTTGTTAGAATTGATGAACCTATAATGATACATCATTATTATTATCCAAAGCCTATAGTCAACCTTAAGGTTCACGCTTTATGATACACATTCTATGCAGTATTACATTTTTGTTAGCCAGGGTATATTTGCTCTTAAAGAGACTTTTTTTTTTCTTCATTGAGTTCATTGGTACATTTTAGGTATACAGTACAGTTACATTCATCATTGGGATCTTGTAACTTTACATGACAGGTCTTGGTTCTCATTTTTTCCCCTTGTCCCTGCCCTCCCTTCACCCCCTCCTCCCCTCCCCATTTACAAACATTTTATTTCCATTTTTTCATTTTCTCCTATTTTTTTCTTTCCCTTATTACCTTTCCCCTCTTAAAGAGATTTTTAATACTTGCCCTCAAAAAGTCTGATCTCCAATATGTTTTCATTTCACTCTAAGCAGAATTAGTAATTCCTGTCTTATGTATGTTTTGGAATATAAATTTGTGCTTACAAATGTATATCTTCATCCAAATTAGCAAGTATTAATGTATTTATTAGGGAGGTTAAAAGATTAAAGAGCCTGTTGTCCCAGCACCCAGGAGGCTAAGGCAAGATTGCCATGAGTTTGAGGCCAGCCTGTGCTACATAGCAAGAACTATATAAATAGAAATTTTTTGAAAGATTAAAGATATACCTGGGGATTTAGCTCAGTAGTTCCACCGCCTGCCTTGCAAGCGTAAGAACCAGAGTTCAATCTCCAATACCAAAAAAAAAAAAAAAAAAAAAGGTTAAAGATATAAAAAAATGAACTTTCGAAGTAGAGGCTAAAGGCATAATTATTCTTAATGACTGGTTATTTTCTTATTACTACAGAGAATTGATGTCATGAACATGGACTAACTTAAGGAATAGCTTTAGTGATTAGACACAGAAAACTCTTCCCTGGGTGATTAAATAGTGCATGATTTTATTCCTGAGTGTAAATGTAAACAAACAGTTTCAAATTAAGTGGTCATTTACTAGAGCATCTTTGCTCAAGCAACCTTGAAGTTAAGCAGTTTTATGATTTAATGAATTTTTAAGAGAAGAGTTCAGAGGTGCCTTTAATGATATTTTTAAAAATTCTTTTCTGAAAATCTTCATTATTTAATAATTGTTTTAGCATAAGAGATGCTGGGCCCTGCTTGCTGGTAATACTAAGATGAATAAATGTTCTATGTTCTTAGGACTCTATATGATGGAGACAGCAACACAATGAAGTATACTATTAGGTGATGAGAGCTTTAATAGGAATGTGCACAGCATGAATACATAAGATAGTCACCTAGTCCGTATTTCAGAGACAGCAGGACAGCATTTGCAGAGATGAATGCTGGAGTTGAGTTGAATAATAGGATTTAGCCAGGTGGTAGGGAAGGAAAGTACCAAGAAATAGAAGTGAACCATGTGGAGGAATTTTGACCAGTTAGTAAGTCATCTTGCAAATCATTAAGAAAATGTCATTTGTTATTTTTTATTTGCATAATAATTTTAGTTGTAGCATTCAGTTAAAAATAGGATAAATTAATGTGTCAGGTTTTCATCATGGTTTTAGTTATCTTGTGTAGTTTTGTATAGTGAGTTGGAAATGCCAACTGAGATTTATCTGACTCCAGAAATTCTCTGATTATTTTTACTTCTCCATATGCTCAGGATATGAGAGTGTAATTCTCAAAGCCCTTGAACATTTTAATTGTTTATATACAAATAAAGTTGATGGTTATGTTAGTACAAAAGATTTTCAGAAAATATTATGGCTTTATAATTTATTTACTTGTACCCATGAACTGGATTTGGGTTTGGCAGATGATTGTAGTTTAGATGTGTCACATTTGAAATGCTTGTGGAATATCCAGGTGGAGATATCCATTAAGCTGCCATGAGTGAGAAATTTAGGTAAAAATTCTAGGACAAAAGGGGCTTGTCAATTTGAAGAGGGTAATTGAAGTTACAGGGAAGAGGCACAGGATGCAAATAAAATAGGACCTAAGAGCAGAATTTGGAAAAACACCAATGTTTAAGGGATAGTGTGGGAAGAACACATAACAGAGACTAAGAAAAGTACCTGTAGAAGTAGGTAAAAACCCAGAAAGTGTCATGTCATGAAGTGGGAGAATATTAAATGGTAAGTTATCAATGTTATCAAGTAGTGTAAACAGATAGAGAGATATAAATATCAAACATTTTGTGCCTTTAACTTAAGAAAAATAACTATGACTTTTGTGAGCATCATTTCACTGGTATGATAGGTTAAGGTATGAATAGAGGTTGAGAAAGTTAGAGATCAGTGTTGTTAAATCTTTCAAAACATTTTGCCATGACAGGAGTAAGCTGATTCAGTAGCTAACTGTGAAGGCTGCAGCTTTTTTTTTTTATATTAGAGTGATTTGTATATATTAGGTGCCAGTTGACAACAATTGAATAAAAGATGATGTTAAAGATAAAAGAAGAAAAAATCAAAAAGGCAAAATTTCATCAGGTTAGTGAGCATAAATATAGTCATTTAAAACATAAGCTAAGGGCCAGGGATTTAGTTCAATGGTTCCGCTGTCTTCCTCCCAAGCACAAGGTCCTGGGTTTGATCCCCAGTACAAAAAAAATAAATACATAAGTAACAAAACAGCTAAAATAGCCCAAGTCATCTCTATTTAATAATAGAGATAATTTTTCTGGTTATACATAAATTACAGACGTTCACTTTCTAAAGCTCCTGAATTCTTTATCTATCACCACATTAGGGAGAACCTTGACAAATTCCATGTCTGTTTGTAGATACTACCCACATTCATTTCTGTTGACTTTTTTTTGTCCATGGATAACCAATCCCTTTTGACTGGTATAGTCACATTTTGTTACGTTATTTCGTTAGTTACGTTATTTTCTTGCTGACCTTATAGCTATTATGTCTTTTTAAGGGCATATCTCTGATCTATTATGTAATGTTTAGTATTAAAGGTGAATCTTACTTGCATTATTTTTTGATTCTTGGAGGAAAACTTACCATAACTCCCAAGTTCTCAGTCTCTGATGATTAAACTGATGGTTTGTTTAAGAGTAACAAGAGTTTGCATATTCTTATGCATAATCTGTTGATATTGTCTATAATATTATTGCCTATAATGTGGAGGTCTGTGCATTTATTAAATATTCAAGAAATTTATTGAATACCTTTTTTGTGTGCCAGGAATGGAAATATCCAACTCTGCAAAAGATTATTTCTTTCAGCTTATGGCTTCAATTGTTTACAGAATTATGCAATTATACAAATAATTTATAATTCTATAGTTTTGAGAACTGATCTAGAGATGGTATGGAGTCCTATCAGAGCATTTAACGTGTTAGATTTGATAGGCCAGGGGAATATCTTTCTAAAACAAATGATATTAAAGCCAAAGCTTGATGAACAGGGGTTGGCCAAACTTGCATCTGACCTTCCTTTCTGTATTTCAAACCAAAGAAATAACATGTCTGAAAGTCCTGAGTCCTTGGCCTCCTCTTTTAGTTTCTTGGTCTCTTGCTGTAACAGTGAAATGGCTGGTGACCCTTTCTTCCCCTTGCCACTGTGTGATATGATTCACAGTATTCTTTTTTAGTTTTTATCTTTGTAATTCTTAAGTATACATGAGTTTCTCTATGTATTTTTTTGGCTTTAGTTGACTTTTCTCTTGGCTGATAAATATGAGAAATCACTGAGTTTATTTTAATTTCTGCTTAATTTTCCCTGTTTTGCATTTTTGTTAGTGACATATTTTTCTACATCATCAGAGCATACATTTACAACTTTCTGTCATTCTCAACCCCTTAATTTACTCATCTCCTGTTACCATCAGGCTTTATAATGTAGATTCTCCAGTTATTTCTTAGATATATTAAATTTACTCTTCTTGATGCCTCATGTATAATGGCCCTTGAGTTCTCCAAATACACGTTTATGTATACACTTCATAATTTGTACTTTATAGGATTTTAAATTTTATAGTCCCACATTCTTCCTAGAGGATATTGTGATGTTGACATTTCATATATTGTTTCATGTTTCATGTGTAGTTATGTTACTCTTTTTAATTATGCAGTTTTCTTGGGTTATAGTTTTCTTCATTCATTCTGTACCATTTCCTTAGTTTTCTGCTATACAGTCTACAAGTATACCTACTGTAAATCTCCTTTGTATCTATCCTTTACTCCCAACATTTTTCCCTTTCCTTTTTTATTTTCATTTTCCTCACTTTCACCTTCTGTATTCTTTATTTCTCCTCTCTGTTTTCCATGGTGTCTATTTACTTATACCTAATTTAGTCAATATTTTCTAGGGTTTTTTTTTTAGACTTTCTAGTTCTTACAGTCTTTCAGTATTGCTTCCATATCCTGTTTTTTTTTTTTAATTTTTGTCGTTTTATTTCTGAGCTTTTTGTCAAAAATGGAAAGAGTGGAGAGATTTTTACCCTATATTAGCCATGATCTAGTGCAGTAAACCCTCATCTTTGGAAAGCTATAGGTTGGCATGATTGACTGTAGGAGCAATTTTGTCATAAGGTGCCACCAAGCCAGTTGGGGAAATACCTGAACTTACTTTCCAGTTCTTGGCCTGTTTATTCCCCTTCACTTTCTCTTCATTAACATACAACCAAAGGGATTGACTATACAGTTGTGGTAGTATTCTATTTGTGCTCAAGAATATCTCTCCAATCCTAATAATTGAACCGTTGGAGCCAGTATTTTATTCTTCAGAAACCCTGTGTCAGCATTCCATTTTTGTTGTAAATGTTAAGTACTCTAAAGAGTCTTAAGATTTTTCCCTGCTTGGAAGGCTAAAAGATTATTTTAATGGATGCAGGCAGAGACCTAGGATCCCTGGATCAAAGACAGAAGAATTATTTACAGTAAAAGCAATAATGTCCACATATTTACATTGGTTTCCTGAGTCTCAGGTCTCACAGAGCAACTGTGCCCTGAGTGGATTGTCATAGAGAGGAACCTGAAGGTCAAGGGCCGAAAAGTTTTGGAACAAGTAACAAACATTATTGCATTCAGCAAGCAGTCCAGTATCCTGTGCCCCCAGAATGTCTCCTTCCAATTAGATCACCCTTTTTTTCTCTCTAAGAAGGAGAATATCTGGTGGTACAGTCTTGTTTCAGCCTGACCCTTTAGTCGTTTGTCTTCACATCTACGAACCATAACCCTAGGAACTGCATAGCATCTACCCCAACTGTTTTTTGTAAAGGAAGATTCTAACAGTTATTAAACAAATGCCAAGATACAAGAGTAAAGACATTACCGGAAAATATCCAGGGTCCAAGCTATGGGTGCTCATACCAGACAAACTCTAGCTCTGCCCTGTTATTACCTTACTATCTCTGGCTGAACCTAGAATGGAACTGCAGTTTCCTAACACAGTGGCAGCAATGCAGATAATGATTGCACCTGGGGCAGTTAGAAGAAAAGGGCCCAGCTGTAGAGGAAAAAAAATTAAAATAAACAAGTTTGGCCCATAGAATCAGGAAGTAATCTATTGTTACATGAAGCTCAGTGCAAAGGCCTTGGGTTCAATCCCCAGCAGAAGAAAAGAAGAAAGGAAGAGAAAGGAAAGGAAAGGAAAAGAAATGAAAGGAGAGGGGAGGGGAGGGGAGGGGAGAGGAGGGGGAAGAAGAGGGAAGGGGAGGGGAAGGTCACAGATTGAAAAGTTTGTTCCCTTTTTATCCCCATCAGTGTTACCAACTCTAGTCTTCCATTCTTTTCTGCCTTTGCCTCTTTCAAGGGTTCTCTATCCCTGGAGGTGTTGGAGTGTTATAAAATTGAATTCTAGGATCCATCCTTCTCCTTTGTGTCCTTAGGCTCTTTGGAGATGGTTTTAGAGGAGGGAAGCAGAAGCTCAGATTAGTTTATTTCAGTTCCAGACAAGATGACACATACTCCTAAAGGGCTGGTTAACATTTTTGTCTCCTAAAATATCATGAACACAGTAAATACGCTTAGCTATCTGTGCCAAATCACAATAGAATTTCTTCATACATGTACTATAAAATGTATTAACTATATTCTTTAAGGTGTTTTGCTATTCATAATTTCTTTTCTTAAATTGTGTATTGGACTTATCCTTGTATTATAACCCCACAGTGTTGGGATGGATTGTTCTGAAATGCAGGCATGTTCCAAATATGTGTTAATGGCAAGATTTCCTTCATCTGATCTTGTGTAGATTGCTCAGTGATCACTGAAAGATCTAAAATAGTGTTATTAATAGTTTTTTATTTTTCCATTTTTCTCTAGAGTCACCCATTACCAAACTTAAAATACAACTGCGTCACAGTGATTAAGTTAGCTTTCTAGTAAGGGATGTTTCAATGTATCAGATATAAAATATTAACGTCCTTTTCTTTTTTATGGTTCTTACAGAATCAGCTTATTCTTACTACAATTTAATTCTGAAGAAAGCTGGACAGTTTTTAGATGATTTACACATCAATTTTTTAAAGTTTGCTTTCTCTATAAGGGCATACTCTCCAACTATTCAGATGTTTCAACAGGTATGTGAAAATACAAAGAAGCATGTTACTCATGTACATAGAGCTATTTAATGTGACCATCTATAGTTCAAAATGACCTGCAAACTTACTGTTTTAGTTCCATAGTTTATTGAATGCGGCATCACTTTTGTCATTGATTATTAGTGAATATGTAAGTATTTTATAGTTACTTGGGATGAGGGCACATCACTGAAATAAACTATAATTAAAATTCTAATAGAATAATTTTAATAACTTTGAAGCATGTATTTCCTAGGATAAAATTTATTTTGTTAAAATATTTCTTAGATTCTACCTGTATGTAATTTTTAAAATTTAAATAGAACAATAATTTAAGAGTAGTGAATGACTTATTTGAATCAAAGTAATGTGAGTTTTAATAAATATATTGTAATTATTAACTACAGTAGCTAACAATCATCTTTGAAATCTTAGATTGCTGCTGATGAGCCGCCACCAGATGGTTGTAATGCATTTGTGGTTATCCATGAAAAGCATACCTGTAAAATTAATGAGATTAAAAAGCTACTGAAGAAGGTGACTTCAAGGTAAATTAATAATAGCCAGTAGGGAAAGAAGTAGCTTGGAAAGAAGAGAGATTGGAAAAAGCCAAAATTTTAATATTCTAGGACATTATCAGTTCAATAATTTGTATTTGCATTGAAAAATTTAATATAGCCAAGGATATTTTTGATTAGGTTTTGACTTGTGAATTTTAATTGTACCAAAATAACATGTAAAAGATATGTATGTTTTATGCAAATTATTTTTGAAGTAAACATACAAAATTGTGCCTTTATTTGGACAACTGTATATCTCTAAATATAAGGTGAATATATGGAGAACAACAAACTAAAAATATATATAGGTTGAGTTGGCTTTTTAAGTAATGTAATACTCAGATTTTTTAATTTTTTATATATATCTGATTTAAAAATGGTTAAAATTGGGCATGGTGGCATGAACCTGTAATCCCAGCACTGGGAAGGCTGAGGCAGGAGGATTGTTGTGAGTTTGCGGCCAGTCTGGACTGCATAGTGAGTTCAAGACCAACCTGAACTACAAAGCCAGACCTTGTCTCCAAAAAAAAAAAAAAAAGAAAATTAATTAATTTTTAAATGGTTAAGAAGTAAATTATTAATACATTAGTGATTTTTTTACAAAGTAATAGCTTCTAGAGTGCATTTTATTGCCTAATCATATATATTTTAAAAAGTAAGTTATTTCTTTAATCTTTTTTTTTTCAGCTTTAATTGAGTTTATTGGTACATTTTAGGGATACAGTACAGTTACATTCATTGTTGGGATCTTGTACCTCTACATGACAATTCTTGATTCTCATTTTTTCCCCTTACCTCTGCCCTCCCTTCACCCCCTCCTCCCCTCCCCATCTACAAACACTTTATTTTCATCTTTTCATTATCTCACATTTTTTTCTTTTCCCTTTTTACTCTTCCACAACCCATCCCACCTTCCCTACACTTTTAGCTCCTTAGTTCCCATTTCTAAATGTCAGTAATCTTATTAGAATCTTATGCATTGTTGCAGATTATTTACACCAGGGAAACTATTCGGTATTTACACATGTGTGACTTATTTATTTCACTTAGGAGTATATCTTCAATATGTATCCATTTTCCTATGAATGAATCTATTTTCTCGTTCTTTATGGCTAATATTCCATTTTATAGAAAAACTACAACTTCTTTATCCAGTTTCCAACTGATGGGCAAATAGGCTGTTTCCAAGATTTAGCTATTACAAACTGTGCCGCTATAAACATGGGTGCACATACTTCTCTGTGATATGATTCTTTTAGTTCTCTTGGAAAGATACCCAGCAGAGGGATGGCTGGGTCAAATGGAACCTCCAGTCCAAGCTCTTTGAGGTATCTCCATATTGACTTCCATAGTGGTTGCACTAGTGTGCACTCCCACCAACAATGGAGAAGGGTTCCTTTCTCCCCACAAGCCCGCCAACATTTGTTATTGTGTGATTTCTTGATAGCAGCCATTCTTTGTGGGGTGAGGTAGAATCTCAGTGTTGTTTTCATCTGCATCTCTCGAATGACCAGTGCTGTGGAACATTTTTTCAAATATTTTCTTGCTGCTTTTAATTCTTTGTCTGAGAAATGTCTGATCATTTCGGATGCCCATTTTTGAACTGGGTCTTTATATTTGGGTGGACTGATTGTTTTGAGATCTTTATATATCCTTGATAATAGTCCTTTGTCTGAGGAACAGCTGGTAAAAATTTTTTCCCACATTGTAGATTGTCTCTTAGTTCTGCTGATGGTTTCTTTTGAAGTACAGAAGCTTTTTAGTAAGATGAGATCCCAGTTGTTGATTCT